CTTCCAAAATAACGATCAAGGCTCGGTAACCACATATTTTAGTTAAACACACATAATCAGTTATTACTTTCCATAATTCGTTAGAAATAAATTAATTCATTAGGGGCTGTCCATTAATCACGTGAGGCTTGAAAGGGGGGGGTGGGGTTTGAGAAAAATCACGAAAATAGCACAAGGGGGAGGGGGGGTGTAGCAAGATATCACGTGTATTTATTTTTTCGTCTAACGCGCGATTTTTAAACAAATATTTTAAAAAAACTTGCAACCTGGTGTAAACATTTTTATTATGGTCCTTAATTTCATAATAAAATAAGATTATAGTTTATACCTGTATTTAAATTAAGATAATATTTAAAACATTTTAAGATTCGTTGTAAGTACTAAAAATACACGTGATGTTGAGAAGGGGGGGGGGGGTGGTCTTAAACCTCACTACGTATCACCAATGGGGGCGGGGGGGTTAAAAAATGCTAAAAAAAGATCACGTGATTAATGGACAACACCTTATTTACTAAATAGTAACTTAAAAGATAAAACTTATTCACTTGTACATTGAAAGACAAATGTTAATATTCAATAATAACAAAATATCGAAAAAAATATATGAACAGTTTACCGATCACTCAAAGCGGGCCTCTTTCATTCGACAATTAACGCAATATCTATGACATTTTAAACGAAAAAGAAGGAGGCAGTGCTTGTCGAACACAAAATATGCATAGATTTTGCACACACACATGCAAACATTTTCCGCATACAACACGAGATTTGAAGATCGGTATTGAGATTATTTATATGAAAAATAAGTAACGAGTAGTTAAAACTACCGCTGTGGCTGCGTAGCGGCATTAGCAGTTAACATTAGCCAACCGATAATGTTTCGTTTTCTGTTTATAGTTTAACAATAATACTTAATCGTGAATCAAATTTCATTTTAAATGTTGGTACACATTCGTATTTAGAATGAATTAAGAATTAAACAATATAGATTTAGATGTTGAATGGGCAAGATAAGCAGTGCTTATTTGCATCTATGGTGTGTAAGCCACTGTGCTGCTGGTAGGAAGGCCGCTATAGTTAGTTGCTACGGGTGCTAAAAGTTCGAGCACACCAGAGCGGTCGGGTGTTATATGACAGCAATTTATATTTTCTGTGCGGCTTGCAGGGCTAAGCGAAGCAAGCTGCACAAGAAACATAAATGAAAATTATTGTGCATATTAAGGCCTTTGGTTTTGTCCACACGTTGTCTTTACTGTTTGGTCTTACAGGGCATAAATAATAAAAAAATTAGGCTAAAAAAATTTTTTAGGCTTCCTTTACTTTTGCCTTGAACTTAAATTAGTTTCTTCCTTATTTAACACGCAGATAAAAACCTCATACCTCAATTCAACCTGTATCCTCTTGTAAATCTTACTTTCGCTTTACTTACACATATAATAAAATTAAAATTTTATTTGTGCACCATGAATACTAAAATAATGCATTAAAAAATCATCATAATCTCAACTTCGATTATTATAGTAGGATTATCAAAATCATATATCCTTTTAAATATAATCTAATCACAATATACTTAAATAATTTAGGGCGTACAACTCATAATGATGCAATCAAAAATATGTTTCAAAGGTGGAAACACGTAGCTCTAGGACTTTTATTTATTAATTTTACAGCAATTTTTGTAAGTAAAAGTACAAAATAATTTAAGCTACAGTCTTGACAATTTAAACCTTTCGTTTTCGTTTCAGACATTAGAGGTAATACCAGAGCGAACGAAGTTGACGTATATAAACGAAAAATACTTTTATAATTTTAGTGTTAAAGTAAACAGATATAGCAGAAGCAGTCCCTACTACTACAACGTTGAAATTACGACGAAACAGCCATGGACTAATAACGTTACGGTTTGTTGAGTATTATATAGTAAATAACACCGACATACAAAAAACATTGTTTCTACACCGGCACCATCAAAAAACATGCCCATGTATTGGTTTCTCCCGATTATTTTTAATTAATAATTTTTTTTTTGTAGCTTTATGTAAAAAATAGCACCTTCACTTAATGAATATAAACACCATACCCACATATACAGTACAGTTAATAATTAGCAGCCCCGTCATACCAAGACATTTATTATTAATGCATAGCATAAATATTCTACGGTAAACTTCTTGATCTCCATTAAGTAAACTCTAACCAAGATAACTTCTAATCTATACCAATCTTTATACACGAAATTGATATCATACGATCTGTCTCAACAAATAACAGACAGAGATTGATGGCTATTGACAAATATATTTTATATTTGTTTTCCTTTATATAAAAAAACCTTATGCGAGGTATCAAAAAAAATAATTAAAACATGAAATGGAATTTGTAAAGCCTTTCGCAAGTTTAAGAAGAACAGGGAAGGCCAAGTATAATATAGGCTTCTAAAGGAGTATTGTGTTCTTGAGTATTGTTTTTATTAATGTTCTGTGGGTTATGTCAAGTAGCACAAAATGAAAGAACTAAAGTTAAATTCTTAATTGTAACTGCAATTAATTCACTTAAAGTTCCGTGATGTCATCTCAGCTAACGTTGAACGCCAACTGAACTATTGTTTATTGAAAGTCTACTACAGATGTTTTTACATGCCTTTTTCGATTGGTTTACCTGCACTCCAAAGTCTACCTTTGCTTTTATCTCTTTCGTAATATATTTTCAATGATGCTTGCTTTATTTTTCAGTTTCATATATACTTTAACGAGTTCCTTCACAATCAGTACCATCGGTCCTTTTTTCAACTCCACCATAGGTACTGTGATTTAGTAAAATATGACAAATTTATCGGATCTATGGTCCAGTATTTCGGGTTACAGTGCCCCATGCCAGCCGTAAGATATTATATTTAGTAGACGTTTTTCTTTTAGCAGGACATGTTAATAATAAATCGTTTTTATGTTTTAGGGTACGCTGCGGTTCCTCAACTTAACGATAACAATGGATAACATTCCAAATGTTTTTCCATTTCAAAAATGTCGCGCTGACATTGAAATAAGAATTACTGGAACAAATGAAGCCATGGCCGTGTATCATAATTACGTTTCATTTAGAGATACAAAACGTACTGGATGATTGAATAACACATTGTATTAACAACATGTATATTTTTTGTTATTAAAGAAGAAGAAAACTTTCTTGATTATACAAAGTTCGTTTTTTTAATATCTTGACTACTTTTTTGTTTTAGTTAACCACTTTCACCCAACATAACTTTTCTGTAGCAGCAACAACAGCGATACTATTTTACTTTTTATATCAATAATCTCATCATCAACATTTTTTTATGTAAAAGGTGACAAACGAGTAGACGTCCTACTTGGTGGGCAGTAGTAACCGTAGCCCATGGACATCCGCAATATCTCTGTTGCGGATGCGTTGCCAACCTTGGGATTTTAGGAATAGGGGGGTGGGAATAAGGAAATGACAGGAAAAGGTGGGAATAGGGAAAGGGCAACCGGCTCTCTCACTCATCGAACGAAACGCAGCCATTAAAGGCTACTTCACGCCGATCTTCTGTGAGAGGGTGGTACTTCCCCGGTCGAGCCAGCCCAGGTTCGATCTGTAGTTCCATGACTACAGCTAGGCTCTACCACCTGATGACAACATATATATCTTAATAAAACTACACGTTTACAAAATCGGAATTGTAAATACTATATCATTGTTATGTATAGTTATAATTGTATCTCGATATAATACACTGATTTTAACTTGCTAGCATTAACAAATAGACTCACCAACAAACAACGAAAATTCATAAGCAACACCAATGTTCTTCATCAAGAATTTATTATAACACATGCTAATTGTGATCTTCTACTAAGAAAAACATTTACTCAGTAGAGGATACATCAAAACAATTAAAGAAAATAACTTCCAAATCAAAATAAGCTTGAATCCAGTCCTCGAAGATCTCTCGTCACTCAAGTTAATTTCTTGTTACTTATTCAGGCAATAAACATAAACAAAAATATATGATTATTAAAAGCAATCAGATATTTTACTCTCTCAAAAACATTTAGTAACATTGTGTCAAGAAAACTTCACGTTTTTACCTGATTAAAAAAGCTCTAAATATATTTGGTCTAAAATAAAATAAATTGTTTAAGCTTAAACTGCTTGAGCAGCACTTGCTGGCTATAGTTGGAAATGTGAATGATCCGCATCGTTAGGATGTGATAAAAATAGAATACTCTAGAGAAAGGACAGGAAATGACTAAATTAAAATATTGATTTTGATACTAACATAAATGATTGTACAATCATGAACATTTTATTACTTTCATTAAAAACCCATTTATAATATCAACTTCATTTATTATATAGAATCATTTAAATAAAATACCTTTTTAAATATGTTTAATTTTACTGTAGAACATATTATCTAAAAACTCCTAGTGTTTTGCATCAGTATTGCAATCATAACATTTGTTTCAAACTGATACAAACACCTCTGTAGCTATATTTTTTTAGTGTTGCAGCGTACTCTGTGACTGAAACATTTGTAACAATAGGATTTATTTTTGAACATTTAAACTTTCTTGATTTTCTTTCTTTCAGAACAGAAGAAGTTAATGTATGTAAATAAGAAGTATTTTTATATTTGAGCATTAATACTCGTATAATATGATGTAGCAGATCTCGTACATACAATTTCAGGATTTGAGGATAATAAACTTGAAAGATGAGCTCGTGCGGAGATGAGCTTGGAAGATAAGCGGGCTCGTTGCCGCTTCACAGGACCCCACCTCACCTTGGCTTCGAAGTAAATACGTCATATATTGGTAAAAAATAGCTTTTAGAGACCAAGACGATGAACCACTCCTCCAGAGCGGAATGTGATATATGTAGGTATATCCGTAACCTTACTTTATCCCCTGTATACCAATTGGTAAGGGACACTGTTACATCCATGATTTGGGTTGTGGGCTCAAAGCCAATTTCTCCTCTCACCACTGTAAACGCCAGCCCGTATTTGGTAGTGGTGAGGTAGGGTTAGTAGTACTTAGCATGCACATCTCCCGCAATGGCTTCCTGGTGAAGTTTGAATACTTCCTCAACTCTATCAGGTTGTCTACTGGTTGACAAGTGACGGGGAAGAATGTCGACCTCGGTAACTTGTATGTCAAACCTATGACCTCAGAAAACCGCGTCATTGATCAGGGTACATAATAATGTTAGTGTATCATGCTCTTTATATATTTCCCAAGGGGTCTCATTGTTTAATATCTTGTAACTAGAATCAGATCAAGTAATTTTTATGAAATTTAGTGGACTTTTATGAGGATCTCTGATTCTCAAACTGATATTTATATGGAAAGATCACCTGTAAGTAGTTGAAAATAACACCTGAACCTGAACCTTATACTGAAAGAAACGAAAACTTTGAGATGAAAACTATCTGTTTAGTAGAAGATGTATGAAACATCTGTTGAAGGAAATAACATTCAAGACTGAAGATATCTTTGTACAAAAAACTTTTTATAACTTAGTGTAGGGTTTCATCATCTCCGCTTCCAACTCAAGTTTTCAACTAGTTTTCGCTTAGAGAAAACTAGTTGAAAACTAAATAATCAGACAAATAAAAACTCCTATCTTAATGGCGGTTAGATACAATATTCTCTCAAAATATTTAACAGGATTATGCCAAACAATCAAACAAATTTCCGGAGCTGGTAGAGCCTGTGGTCAAGTTGCTGCAGCTCGAACATGGGCTGGCTCGACCGGGGAAGTACCACCCTGTCACAGAAAATCGACGTGAAGTAGTCATAAATGATTGCGTTTCGGCCGGTGAGTGAGAAAGCCGATTGCCCTTTTCCTGTCCAAACCCTTTCCTACCATTTCCTTCATACCACCCCTCCCTTTTCCTCAACAGCTAAGGTTGGCAACGCATTCGCAAAAGTTTTTCGGATGTCCATGGGCGACGGTGACTACTGCCGATCATGGAGGTCGTCTGCTCGTCTGTCACCTTTTATATAAAAAAAAAAACTTTCAATTCCTATTTCCTACTGTATCTCGAGCAATATTTGCCCATTATAATTTAAAAGTTGTTAAAGTATCATCTCGTACCTTCAATATGAGTAGAATATAGGTATATATGTACAAAATTTATAAAATTAAAAAGATATTTGTACATCATGATTACTAAAATATTGCATTAAAAAGTCATCATAATTTCAACTTGAATTGTTATAGTAGAATTATTAAAATCAAATATAATTTGATTACACTAGGTATACTTAAATAATTTAGGACGAACAACTCATAATGTTTCTATGGCTAAATCATGTAATCAAAAATATGTTTCAAATGTGGAAACATGTAGTACTAGGACTGTCATTTATTAATATTGGAACATATTTTGTAAGTAAAAGCACATATTTAAGCTGATACCTTGGTATTGTAAACCTTTCGTTTTCGTTTTAGGGATTAGAGATAATACCAGAGCGAGCGGAGTTGACGTATGTAAACGAAAAATACTTTTATAATTTTAGCCTCTATGTAAGGAGATATAGCAGAACCAGTCCTTACTACTTCAACGTTGAACTTACGACTAAACAATCATGGACTAACAACGTTACGGTTTGTTATGTATTATATCACTAATAATATTTAGAACACCACGTCCACTTATATAGTACATTAGATAATTAGCAGACCCATCATATAATGTCCTCACCTCGATGAGGATTAATGCAGAGCATAAATTTCTACGATTAAGTGCTTAATTCCGACTAAGAAAATTCTTACCGAGACAGCTTCTTATTTTTCAAATTTAATACACGTAATTGATGGTGTAGGATCTGTCTCAACAACTAACAGACAATTTATGGCTATTAAGTGTATTTAGCAATGTGTACATAAAAAACCTTATAATAAAGGCGGATGTTTGGTTTGATTTTATATTTTAATTTTTTTTTTTGGCAAGTTCTCCTTATTTTCTTTTCAATAAAAGAGCCTCCTGTGAAGTTTTAAAAAACAATTTAAAAAATTGAAGCTGTAAAGCCTTACGAAAGTGGTGGGGAACGCAGGTAATAATAAATGACTCTAAAGGAGTATTGAATTCTTGAGTATTGTTTTTATTAATGTTATGTGGGGTATGTCAAGTAGCGCACAAAATGAAGGATAAATTCTAAACAGTAACTGTAATTAACAAAATGCTGGGAATTCGCATCAAAAAAGATATCAAGAGTTTAATAGTGCCTCTTTTTGACCTGGTTAACATTTCAAAGTCAACCTTTACTCCAGTCAACCTTTACTCCTTTCTGTATGAAATTTTGTTCGTTGATTTCGCATTATGTGTTTTTCTAGACTTTTTCGTAATGTATGTTCAATGATGCTTGCGCTATTTTTCAGTTTCATATATACTTTAATGAGTATCTTCACAACGAGTATCATCGGTCGTTTATTCAACTACGCCATCGGTTCTGTGATATAATAAAATATGACAAATTCATGGGAACTATGTTCAAATATTTCGGATTAGAGTGCCCCATGCCAGCTGTAAGATAAAAATTCATTAGAAGTTTTTCTTTTAGCAGGAAATCTTAATAATAAATCGTTTTTGTTTTAGGGTACACTGCGATTGGTCAACTTTACAATTGCAATGGATAAATTTCCAAATGTGTTTTCATTTAAAAAATGTCGCGTTGACACTGAACTAACAATCACTGCTACCAATGAAACCATGGCTGTGTTTTATAATTACGTCACATTTAGAGATACTAAAAGTACTGGATGATGGAATTAACAACATGTATATTTTGTTGTTACGGAAGAGGAAAACTTTTTAGATAATACAAAGTTCGTTTTTTATATCATGACTACGTTTTTTTTACTAACCATTTTCACCCAAAATAACTGTTCTGTAGTATATCTATCAGCGATTCTACTTTACATTTTGAACATCATCAACATAGATATATAAAAACACACCTTTACATAATCGAAAATGTTAATATTACATAATTGTTGTGTAGTTATAATTGTATCTCGATATAAAACAATAAGTTCAACTTGCAAGCATTAACAAATTGACTTACCAAGAAACACCGATAATACATAATCCACACTAATGTAATCAAGTTTTATAGAATTTATTACAATACATGCTACTCGTAAATGTGTCCGGGAAAAAAACATTTGCTCAGTAGAAGATACATCTAAAACTAGTAACGAAAATAAGTAATAACTTCCCAGATCAATTTATGCTTGAATTCAATCCTCGAAGATCTTCTTGTCACTGAAGCTACATAGTTTCTTGTTACTTCCTCCTCCTCCTTGTGTCGTTCAACGTCCAAGGCCCAGGCTATCCTGAGTATTCTACGCCAACACCACATGGCAAACGCATTGCAAACGGAGTTGGTCAGTTTAATCATGTTACTTATTCAGGAAATAAAACATAACCAAAATTTATGAGTACTAATAGCGATCAGATATTTTCTTCTCTCAAAAACATTTCATAAGGTTATTTCAAGGAAAATTCATGTTTTTACCAGGCTAATAAAAAAATTTGAACATATTTTGGCTTAAACAAAAAATTGTTTACACTTTAACTGCTTTAGTAGCACTTGCTAGCTATTGTTGGAAATGTGAATGATCCGCATGAAATGATGAAGATTAGATTATTCTAGAGAGAGGACAGGAAATGACTAAATTAAAATATCAGTTTAGATATCTACTTACATAAATGTTTATAAAATCATAAACATTTCATTACTTTCATTAAAAACCCATTTATAATATCAACTTCATTTATTATAATGAAATCATTTAAATAAAATATCTTTTTAAATATGTTCAATTTCGCTGTACAATATATTATTTAAAGCGTTTAAAAGTGGACCTCAGGTTTGGATACGAGGTCGCGGCGTGTAGATACCTTTTTAACTGTTAGACTACACCACGGCCGATAATGTTTTTCACGATACAAAGTGCACCAAGAATATATCTCATTATAGATACGCCGTTACATTCCAGCTTCCAAGACCAAGATCGGTATTTTGGTGATAGAAACAGCTGCTATTGTCTTTTGAACCAATCCGACGGGATACTATACAGAGGCCAAGATACTATACAGAGCGGACATGGCTACTTCTAGAAGAACCTCTACCACTCCTCCAGAGCGCAAGACATTTTCATCTAAACAATAGCGGAATGTTATATGTGTAGGTAAGTCCATCGCCTGCAGGCGTTACTCAACCTACTCTTGCCGTACAGACAGACATCACAAACACCTTTTTTATTAGGTAACAATGACACCTAAAAGTGAAGTTTTGACTAGAGATAGTTGTTACTACAATGCGCTTTAACAAGTATATGTTCATAAAGTGTAATTTTTTTAATGTATGATCAATTTCATTCCATTAGTATTGGTATGAGACCGACACAAGACAAATCAGTTGCCTGATCATCCGTTTGAGAAACTTAATGCAAGAATATCTTTACTATTCACTGGTTGTTTTTATTTCTATTTTTAGAAAAGCATTCAATGAGTATAATTTTATTATTACAATATTACATATTGTAATGTAATTTTGTTTTATATATTAGACAACGTGGTTTACTCAAACCTACAAATCCACTTCGTCGTTCCTCTTGGCGCTATAACTTCACATGCGTTTTAAATAGCTAAAGAACTTATAATAATTAATTTTAGACCTCTTTTACTTTCACTTTTTACATGAACTTAAGTTACTTTCTTCGAACTTGTGTCTACAACGACATGTCATTTAGTGGATTTTGATTCTCAAAGTGATATCTTAGGCCAGTATAGATGCCTCTAAAAATGATGAAAAATGAAAATAAATTATAGTAGAATGAAACCCATTACAAAAGGAAGGGAATATTTTAAAAATTAAGGGAAAAATAATTTACGGGCGATCTAAGGTCGGGAAGGGTACAGGCGTGGGTATTTAAGAGTAAAAAATGGGTTTTCTCGATTTCCGGAAAAACTAAGAGTCTTAATGAAAATGTTATATGGCAAAGTTGTTGGTAATAAAAAGATCTAAAACTTTTGTATTTACACTTTTTTCACATAACCTGAAAATTTATGTGATAAATTCGAAAAACCAAGTTTTTGGTTTTTTATTTTTATCTCTTACAAAATACAATTTATTGTCACGAAATTTGGTGAAAACTTTCCTTTTGATGTTTC